GATTTACGGGCCAGACCGGACCCCACGTAGTCTGGACCCAAAATAAAAACAAGGTAAGGGTAAAAACCACGGAATGAACTGAACTGGTTTTTCCGGGCAGACTGGGACCAGGTAGGTCGTACCGGAGGTACAATACAGTAGTATGAATGAAAAGACTGAAAGAAAATATACAATTAAATATAAAAGACTGCACAAGCGGAAATGCATGTATAGTAAATAAACTATATAAATGTATGTGATCGGGGTAGCTGGCATGGTACTAGCGTTAATTCGGAAGGGTTCGGATTAACGTTTAGCGCGTGATTGTAGAAACGGACCTTTGTGAATGATTGTACGATGTTTGCGAGATTGCGTCCCATCTACGGGCCATCCGATCCGGGTCGGATGCCACCCGTATGGGATATGATTGTGAATGTGGCGATGATATAATCGCGCCAACATCCGAATGATAGGACGGTTATGGGCACCCCGATGACTTGCGTGGATAGCTGATTGTAGTTGGTACTATTGCGTGACGAGGAACACACGGTTTTTAGAACCGCGCCAACGTATCCGTTAGCGACGGAGCGGACCCCGGGGTATGAGTATCCCGAGGATGAGGGCATCACACATACCTGAGATTCGGGCGGATTGTGGTCCCCCGAGGAGGTGGTACGGACTTACTCTGCCAAGTTCGGGCCCGAACCTGACAAGTATTTCCGCGGCGGATGGTCGGCTCGTTATAGTCGACGGCGTCGGTTGTAGCCGACGTCAGGTGAACTCCGGTATTGAGAGGTGACATCAATGCCAGAGCGGGGACACGCCTAGCATCGAAAGGTGACATCGATGCTAGGGTGGGGTGTTGTGTTCGGGCGGAGAAAATAAAAAGATACTTATACCGGATTCCGAGTGTGTGCGGAGTAGATGGATTCCGAGGAGAGAGGTGGTTGTGCTACACACATGGGGAGTACATACCTACGCATGGTGCGCGTAGAGACGATTTGACGGACTCTGTCCTGCGACTTGTCGTACGGCCGACTTGTCGTACGGACTTGATTGTGATTGTTGCGTGCTTACAGTGATTCATGTTTTCAATTTCTGTTTATTAGAATACTAGTATATACACACACATATATATATATATGTTTGTGCTTTCCCTGGCACCATGAGAATGAAACTCTGGGTTACGCCCGAGTTCACTCTCTAAGCAATTAGCTTAGGACGTTGTTACGCAACGTTTCAGGTCGTGAGCAGCAGTAGCTGAGGAGCGGCGGACGTCAGAGACTTGGGTGACCTGCCGTGCGATCATGTATAATTATTTTTCTACGGTACATTTACGTATTTGGGAAATCATAGCGGTGGTAGACTTTTATGGTTTGTAATAATGTGATTCTACCACTGTTTATGTATAATTATAACTGGAATAATGTACCGTATATGTATGTATGAATGTTTTCTTCCGCTTAACTCTGAAAATAAAAGTTTTAAATTCCCGCGGATTTTTGGAAATGCGATTTTTATTTTACTTGTCCATGTGGCGCAACTCGTATTGCGGGATACGGGTTTCGGGTGTCACATAGTTCGTCTCCAACAAAACGACATTGGACATGGATCAAACATATCTTTCGTTATTTATAAGGAACGATTGATTTGAGATTATTTTATCCTAAGAATTCCAAACTTGAGTTAATCGGTTTTGCAGATGCAGGCTATTTATCCGACCCTCATAAAGCCCGATCACAGATTGGATATGTTTTCACAATTAGAGGTACTGCAATATCCTAGCGTTCTCGGAAACAAACATTGGTTGCAACATCTTCGAATCACGCTGAAGTCATTGCATTTCATGAAGCAAGTAGAGAATGTGTGTGGCTCAGGGCTGTAACCCGCCATATACTAGAAGCGTGTGGATTACCGATTAATATTGATCCAACGATATTATTCGAAGATAATGCCGCATGTGTTGCTCAAACCAAAGAAAGATACATAAAGAACGACCGAACGAAGCATATTCCTCCAAAGTACTTCCCTTACACTCAAGAGCTCGAAAAGAACAAGGAAGTTGATATTCGTTATATCCGATCAAGTGACAACGTAGCTGACTTATTCACAAAGGCACTCCCTACTTCAACATTCAAGAAGCATATTCAGAATATTGGAATGCGTCGTCTTCGAAGTTTATGAAGAAACGTATGCATATTGGTTCAAGGGGGAGATTGTAAGATTGTACTCTTTTTCCTCGTCATTGTTTTTATCCCACAGGGTTTTTCCATGATAAGGTTTTTAACGAGACAGTTCATACTTTGTAAATATACAAGTAGACATCTAGTGGGATCCATTATCTAGTGGAACCCATATTATGCTCTTCTTCACTATGAAGAAGCTGACACTTCTTCACTACGAAGAAACTGACACTTCTTCACTACGAAGAAGCTGACACTTCTTCACTACGAAGAAGCTGATCCTTCTTCATTATGAAGAAGCTGACCTTTCTTCACTATGAAGAAGTTCCTTATATTTCTCTATAAATAGATCATGATGTAGTTCATTTGTAACATATACAGAGAACTTTTTCTCTCTTCTCTCTACCATACTCTTTCTCTCTCTAGAGCATCTCTATCTTGTTTTTCGTCTTTCGTTTTCAACCGTTTGTACTTTGTAGGATTTTACTCTTTTCTATTGATTTTTAATTAAAATCAATCATTTATTTTATCATAAAAATATAAAAGAAACATATTGTTATAACTTAAACTAGAATTTGTTAAAATTATTGATATCACTTGATTTAATTACAAAAAAATAAAAAATTATCTTATACGTATTAATTTTTTTAATAAAATTTTAAATATAGAAGTCAATAAGTTTTTATTTATATTTTAAGAATTTATTTTATCATATTTAAACAATTAATATAAGTAATAATAGAATTTAAATTTTTACATAAAATAACTATTATATAAAAACCGAAAGATTCTTAAATGTTGAGTATAAGATATTTCATTTGGTTTATTATATTTAAATATTAATATAATATTTGAAATATAATAAACCAAATGAAATATCTAATTTATTTTAAATCAATAAATAATGTACATCTTAATACTTTTTTTTTAAATTTAATATATTGAAAAATATAAATAATATTTTAATATTTTATAGTGTTTTTAAATTATAATGTTATTTCAACATATTTTATTGTTTTCCATTGTATTTGTCATATTTTGTTTTTGTTTTGTTAATTTTAAATAATTTTTATCATCTATCTGTCATAAAAATATATAAATATAATTAAATTTTATTAAAAAATATAAAATTATCTCACATATATTAAAAAATTTATAATTTTTTAATATATAGATTTCTATAAGTTTTTATTTATATTATAACAATTTGTTATCATATTTAAACGATTAATATAGATAATAATAGAGTTTTGTTACTTTGCATTGTTTTTTATCATATTTTTTTATTTCATTAATTTTTAAATGATTTTTAATGCTTATTGTAATAAAATAAATCGAAATTTGATATCATTTGGTTTTATTAAAAATATAAAATTATCTTAGATATTTTAAAAAATTTAATAATTAAAAAATAGATTCCTACAAACTTTTATTTATATTTGTTTTTTTATATCTAAACAAATAAAATAGATAATACTGAGATTTTAACTTTTATAAAAATAACTATTACATACAAAAACTAGAAGATTTATAATTCATAATATCTTTCATTTGTTCATTATATTTTAAAACTAATATCATATTAGAAACATAACTAAAATATCTATTTTGTCATAAATTTTAAATTTTTAAATAAATATATACATATTTTCAGTTTATTGTTCCAATATTTTAAAGAATAATAATTTTTTGTCTTATTTTTTATTTTTTTATTATTTGTTTTGTTAATTTTAAAGTGTATTTTGTCGTGATATTTTTTGTTATTTTGTTAAGTTAAAAAGTTTCTTCTGTGAATTTATCTATAATACGATAATAGAGATTTTTAGATAAAAATAATAATTTGTTATATGTTTTTATCATAATTAAATAATTGTAATAAATAATTAAAAATGATTCTATATATCTTGCATATTTTCAATTTATTTTATAATATTTTGGAAAAAATATAAATTATTTTTGTTGTATTTTATTATATTTTGTTATTATTTTATTATTTTTAACGTGTTTTGTCAGTGTAATTTGTCGTGTTATTTTTTGTTATTTTGTTAGTTTTAAGTTTTTTTTTGGATTTATATGTTATAAAAATATATTAATATAATCAAATTTTATTTAAAAAATAAAAAAATATATAATATAATTAATATTTTTTAGCTAAAGATAATTTTTATTATTTTCTGTTACAAATATTTGATTTATTTAACTAATTAAATCTGTATAACGATAGGATTCTATTTTTTGGATAATGAGATTTATTTTTTAAAAATAATAGTTTTTTAAAGGTTTAATATTATTATATAACTATTTATTTATATTTTTTATTTAAAAAATATAATAAGATTATTTTTTTCATATGTAAAATTTTTAACAAATATATGTATATTTGTTTATTTTTATTTTTTAATATAATATTGTTTTTAATCTTATTTGTATTTTCATAAAATTAAAAAAAGTATTATAAAATGATAAAATAATAATGTGAAAAATATAAAAGTGAAAAATATAAAAGTGAAATATGAACCGAAATTTGGATAATCTAAAAGAATATATAAAGTATATTTTTATTTCGGATTTAAATATAAATGTAGGAAGAAATATTACCCGAATTTTATTGATTTTTTGGTAAATATAGTTGGATAAAATGGTACGGTGAACTTATGGATAAAAAAAAATGTGTAATATCAATATTAATACGAGTGAGAGAGAGTATAATAAAATGGTGAAGATAAATATGACTCTGACCGTAAACGGCACCGTTTTGTCTTCACTTCAATAAAAAATGGCATTGCATTGGAACTTGAAAAGAGAGAAAGAAAAATTGAAGGGAATAGCCGTGCGAGTCTTCTTCTTCGCAAGTGTATATAAGAAAATAAGCAGCTCTACGAAATCTCAGGCATCTCCATCCTTTTCTCTCTGGTGATGAAGTAAGCTCCTGCACTGCAGGCTGGCGTAAGTCGGTTCTCTCTCTCTCTCTCTCTCTCTCTCTTGTTTTTGCTTCTGCATCCGACTTTACTCTGTTTCTTTTCTTTTGTTTGTTGATTTCTTCTTCGAGATTATTTTGGGTTCGTACAAGGTTGGTTTCTTACTGTTGTTTCGACATCAATCAGGGTTCGTCTTCGTTGGTTTGTCACCGAAAGTCTCTGTAATTGGGCTTTTGTTTTCTGGTTTTATGGTGTCCCCCCCCCCCCC